AAGGTCATTGAACACCCGCCGGCTGATCAGTTAGGCCATTTCACACTTCTCATGGAATATTACAACACTTCAGGCTAAATTCAGCACACCTTTAGAACAGCACATTTTCTTCTTTTTTTAAGACACCTTACTCTTGTTTCTACAGAATGTAACTCATCAACATTTTCTCAGGTACGACGAAGTTCATCAGAGAGGAGCAAATCGCATCCAAATTGAGGGGTTTTGCATAAAGATGTCAAAATTCGTAACGAACAAGACCATCTGAGTTGTTTACTTATTATTTTTAAGATACTTCTTATTAAAAAAAATTAGGCTTCTTTAGATTTTATTGGAATTTTTTTTGTTGAAATTTCTATCATCTCGCATGGTATCAAAACTTTTAAAACCGAAGACTATGAAAATTTTACGTTAAAAAACTACTTTTCTTGAAATTTCATTTTCTCACTATTATCATCATTGCCATCACTCTCATAAGTAAGATAAGGTTAGTTACGATCAAGGGGAGGCGCGTAATTAAGATGAGGTTAGTTATTAATGAGGTCACATCGTACCTCGGCGCGAAGTAATGTCAGTCGAGACTAACGTCGCTCACCCGTGGCAATATCCATATATTGCAACCTCCTGGCTAGCAGGGATGGGTACGTAGGCCATGGTAGGAACGTGCGCCCAGCGTCCTAGGGAGCTCGGCGCTGGGCTAGCAGCCCCCTTAACGTACTGCGGAGGCAGTACCAGCAGGAGTTCGCAAAGGAGACTGGGACAGTTGAACATGACACAGCGAGTGGGCAGAGACCCCGGCCACCTAGCTCACGCCGCTGGGGTCGTGCCGAGTAACCACCGATGCGGATTGGCCTCGGCGGGACGATCCCGACGGCGCTGCAGTCGGGGTACAGCATGCATCTTCTTATTCCTTTTTATAATAGATGAATAATGGATTACTCCTAAATGGACTATTGGAGACCATCCCTTAAACCGACGACATCACTTTGATAAGGGAAAGCCGAAAAGAATTGTTGGACCAAGTGAAGAAGTTTTGGTGTAAAGCGGATTTCGGCTAACGTGGCGATAAACTAGTTCCTCATCTCCTTGAAATGTGCAGAGTCAACCATAGACAAACTCGGGAAGGGTACAGGAATCGATGCCTCGGTAGAGGCCTAGCCGCTGACAGTAGCACGGACTAGTTTGTGTAGGCTCGAATAAACGGGCATTGATGAGATGGAGGGAGTCCACAGGGGTTTTCTGCGACCGGCGCTGCTCCAGGACGCTCAAAGGCAAGGTAACCGGACAATGGTGAGCCCTGATGCTCTACAGTAGCAAGTGGTGGTCCGTTCTGAAAAATACGAATGAATTGAGGGTGTTAAACAGGTCCGCGGTTCGAAGCGGCTGAACCGGATCAGAAACGAAAAGGTAAGTTGGTCACACAAAACAGCCCTGTCTAGTTAAAGTTGGAAGACCGGCTCATATTATTTATGTTCTTATTAGCAGTTGTTAACAGAATGAATTTGTGTGTTATCACTGAAATTGTCATTTTCAGCGCAGGATGTCTTTTTCTTCCACATTCATGTTATGGCACGTATACGTGCTGAAAAGGCATAGGAAAGGAAGGCAACGGACCAAAATGAAAATTCAGTCCGGCACTCGGCTCTTACAGTAACCCCCTGGCTCACCCCTTCACCCACCCTCGTGTCCTTGCCCAAAGCCCCTTTTCGACGCGTCGTATATGTGATGTAAAAATATGCGTATTAACACGTGCCGGATTACTGTAAGAACCGAGTGCCGGACTGAATTTTCGTTCCTGTAACGGAAAACGAACCTCAGGGGAAGCGACCGCGAGAAGCCACAACATAGTGGTGACGGGATTGAACATGAGTGACATCACCAATAGTAAAGTAAGGGCAGAAGTTATCAGTAAAAGTAAGTGAAGATAACTTTCAAGAATAGCTGCACATGGCGACCGAGTGGTACTAACGCGGGGGAGAAGAAGAAAGGTACAACTCTGGCTAATGCGGCTACTGTGAAGTTTCTGCGCTCTACTGCGAACGCAACAGACTGCTTCGTAGCTCATTTTCTTAACTTATGTAGTGTAACAGTTCTTGTTAACAGTTGTTATTATTTACGTAACATTATTCTAGTTAATGGGATAAGGTTTTTCAATGGAATGCAACGTCTTCTTTTCACTGTAGTGCTTCTAAAGCACATATTAGCAGGTATGCAGGTATTTGTACATGATTTGCTGTTAAGGTTCCTCCTCTTCGTTTGAGCTCCTAGAAAGAAGCTTTTTTGGTTTGTGGAAGGGATATTTTGCTTGTACGGTTGCCTTTTATTTCCAAAAATTTGTCAATATCTTCAATGAGTAGTGCTAGCGAACCAAAAAACCTTAACTATATTTCACTGGTTTTTACTATTTTGTTTACGGCTTAATTTTGAAATGAGCTCATGTGTTATGCTTACATGGTAAGTGGATTTGCAAAAACAAGTAAAACAGTGCAAACTGTGGGGGCAATCGTCAGAACCTTGATGGCAAGTTGTGGTGAAATGAAGTATGCTGGCAAAGCCGGCAATTGAAGCTTCCAAACTAATCATAAGGAAAAGGTTTAAGACAAATTATAGGAGAAGTCTAGAATCCACTTGTGTGTCATCATTGACATTGTCATTTCAGCGCAGGATGTCTTATTTTTTCACATTGATCAACCCAGGCAACTAGCGTACACATACCAAATGCAGCCTTCGCACAGCGTCGGAGTCCCATTCCCGAAATACTCTTACAAGGTAATTTTTGATTGGCTTCCAGAATGGGCTTTGTGGAGGTTATTTTGCACAGTATGAAAACTGAATGACGCACTGTTTTTGGAGGTCAAAGTAAAAGCGAAATCCCCACAACATGTCTCCGATAAGTAACCGACGTTTCCTTTATTGTAAGAAATCTAACTGAATCACTCATCAGCGGCAAAGTAGAAATCCTTGAGACAGTGCTCATGAGAAGAAAGAGTTCGTAGGCTGAGGAGCAAGGTAGAACCATGAAAAGTGAAGGACTGTTATTCGTTGTTTTTCCACGCTTTGTCTTCTGCTTCCTTAATCAAACTTCAGAAGGCGTCACTCGTTTACGCGTATCCCGCTCATGGTTGCGAGCCTTTGAAAAACAAACTCGGTGCGAATGAAGTTGTGCTGCTGGAGAGAGGGTTTGTTGCCGATGTTCATTCAGTTTTCTTCGATTATGCAATGCCGTTTACTTGTTTTTCGAGACTGATCGTTAGGAGTCTTTATTCAAATTTTGCACTTTTTCGGTATGATTCGCTTGAACCAGTAACCTATTTTTCGCTTCCATTCTAAATCAGCCGTAATTATCCTTTACACAAAAGCGTGCAATTTAGCAGAATTCGGAAAGCTCTAACTCGAAACCCTAATGTTCCTGTCCCACTTCTAACCACTATCTCGGCTGTTCTTAGTTAGTCGCGTACTTATGGCACGAAGTCCATCCACATCGCGGCAGTTGCTACCCACTCGATCGATTTTGAGTGGATCTCTTGACTGTCCTGGCACTGAGTTGCTAGATATTATAGTGATCAAACCAGATTCAATAGCTTGCTTTTCATATTGCAGATGATTTCCATACACCTATACTATGCATGCTTACCACGTCCTTAATATTGTTTACCTCTGCCAACCTCTCTCATTTTCGAAACTGTCTTAGAACTGAGTTAATTATCGCTGTTTACTATTCCTGTATTTCTTTCAATCTCACATTGCTCTGGAATCATACAGGAATTCCTTGGTTCTAGCCACATCTAACGCAGCTCCTGTTCCCTTATAGGAGGTATTATTTCCATCTCTTGTTTAATTACTCCTACATCTTTACTATTTCCTTATCTGTTCGATCACTAACTATTTTATCTTGGTCATGAGGCTGAGACGATTTTGTAACCTGAACATGAAACTCGTGAGTAACGTCGCCTTTTTGAATTCAAAAGAAATAATAAAGAACATGGAGTAATAACGCGAAGGACGGAAAAGATGAAAAGATTCCTTTGCTGTAGGTTGCTTCTCTTCAACATGGCGCTCTTACTTATCCTTGCACATTTTATCCCGGCTGCGGTCTGTTTTGACGTCCAGTTTGGAATTTTTGGTTCGAACTCCGCCCATTTCGACTAATGACTAAGCCACATTTTATCCATGTGCATTCACACATACTGAAGTGTGACCTACATAATATAGACTTACTGGATTATTTGAAAACGAGGCGCTCCCTGTAGAAAGTGTTCAGAATATCTCGTTAGTCACTTTTACATGAAACGTCAAAAACTTTATCGCTTTTTACTTTTCATATTTCTATTTCGAAAATCCAACTCCCCATTCTAGAGAATGCTCCTTTGTGGAAAAGATTATAAATGCGGAGAATGCTGGGGCATTAATAGCACTGGTCACTGACTCGCATTCTGGTATGGTTTCCTCCTGATTTCATTGCTCCATCATTGAGTTGAAAAATCGCTGAGAGATCCCTCCTTTTTTTAGGAAGCGACGAGTTTGTGGATATGGTGACAGATTCGACGGAGCGACAAGCGGGCATACCCGCTGGTTATATTACGGGTGCTAGTGGGTATGTTTCCTCATATGTATCTTGGCCCTTTTCATGCTATTTCGCTCCCTCGATCACGAAGCTTGTCAACAATTTCTAGCGATTAATGTGTCAGCAGTAATTATCAGTCCTCTTTATGCGACTGACAGTCTTCGATACAGAGGATCTTCATAGTCTTTTTGAACCCTTTTTCCTTGTCCCTGTCCCGTTTCCATCCACTTGAATTTTTCTGTCAAGCTTTCCCTGCTGTTTTTAGTTCTTGATTATGAGGTGTATTGAATCCTATTTGCATGGAATACTTCACATGTTTCGATTTAGCCGTCGGATACGGGACTTCCTGCTATATTCGGATGGAGCCATACAAATGACAATTCCATTGAACCATACACTTGCTCTGGTTCGTGAAATTCCCAATAAACCACCATGGGAATTATGGTAGGAACTCGTACGTTCTTAGTATCGCTGTCGTTGTTCAGTTGATGTAGGTGCAGAAGGTTTCATCTTGGTGTTGAAATCACGCCGCTTTGTAGAATATGTGAAACAGTTACGCTACTTCAGTCATCGAAGTCCCTCATTTTCCTGGCCTTTTTTTTTTGCTCAGCATATTTCCTGTTTAAGCATGTAGGTTCAATATTGAAATGCTACACTTCTTGCCTTATTTATTTGTGAAATGCAATACCTAGCGAATTCCTTCAAACTTCCTTCCTACTATCCTCTCTTTTCCAAATCAAGCAGGCAACACAAAAATGACCTCGGTTATTGACTGTTAATGGCTTTATACTACTGGAGCTACTAAATTTTGATTGCGCAAATATATACCATACTTACTTAAATTTTGTTTCGTACCTGAGATTCAATGTCCAACATTTGAACCATCTTTTAAGAAAATTTGGAGAATGAGTTTCGATGCTTGTGCCAACCTAAAGACAAAGGATAGGTCAATAGGCTTGAGGTAGGGTATGACCACTGTTATTCGCACACAGTCAGTGAGTATATCGTAGGCTTCATCCTAGTTTGTAATCGAGTAATTGCAACAAAGCTGGTGCTAATCGCGTTTCCGTTCGGTAGGCAAACTGCTGTAAGCTTTGCTATTCAACACCATCTCCTTAAGTAATCCTTTCTGTTCTCCTTAAGCTAAACGGTCAGGTACGACTCAGTTCAAAGGTTCCTACGATATGGCGCAACTTGAAAAAGATTGTGGTAAATACTTTTCCGTTTCCGTAAATTCCACTCGTTGTTCAATCATTCAAGTGTTCTCGTTGCAGTGCCTGCCGCATTATTCACAGGTTGCGCCTTAGTTCATTTTTCTATGGGTTTAATGTTGATGGGTTTGGTGTAGGTTTATATTGTTAAGATGTTTGGTCGGTGTCAACCTGCAGAACTCGATTCGATTTGATTTCCTGTTATCTGAATTACCGGTGTGTGCGAAGGCCTTTTGCAGTGCCAGATATACCTTGTTATAGTGTTTGAATAAAGTTTATGCTCAATGGTACGTGCTACTCATTTCATCTGCAATGATTCAGTAACGATGTATGCTCAGATTCATGCCGAAGTTTAGAGAAGAAGATCAATTTAGATCAAGGGTTATGGAAATGGATTTGTTGCAATGATTGTCTCGGATGTCATCGTAAAATTGTGGTATTACGTAAAAGAACTATGAATGGCCGTCGGGAATTGGGAATGTTCAGCAAATATCGTAATTGTCTAGATTTAGCTTTTCGGAACTAAACTGAATTGACAGCGGAGCTTTGACCCTCTGAAAATGTTTTGTGGGTTCGACTTGATCGCGGATGAAAGGTACGGACAGCTATTGCTACTGGAGAGGACAAACATAATTCGCTGTGCCCCTTACGATTTTACGGCGATCAGATGTCCCGTGTCTTAGAGACTTCATGAGTCATCTCGTTTTGTCTTTGGCAGTGATGTGATTCCGAGTGTTGCGAACTAGAAAGGAATCACTGGACAAGCTGTCTCAAAACAGATTTCCAACGTCTTAAAACAAATCTTCGAACAAGCATTTTGTCATGCGTTACATCCTTTACAACTTCCCATCATGTAGCATCATTCCCCATTCACAATGATATGATGTCACCCCTTGAGAAGTTGCGTATATACTTTGCGCCCAATTCTAGATGCGGACTGTGAATAGCGATAGATCAACCACATTGTTGCTAAGATGTTGGTCACAAATGGAGTTTGACCGAAGGTTCTGATCGTGTGAAGTGAAAGGACGAGTACCTGGGCCGGGCATGTTATGATTCCATCATAGAAGTAAGGGAACTCCCCCTTTTCTTTTCCCCATCGTCCTATTTCCTTCGATACATAGAATCTTCTGCAGCGAGCTTGGCTTCAACAAGGTATTAGGGTGTGAGGAAAATTTTGAGAATAAATAGTCGAGTTTTAAACTTAAGTCAGTGATCATTCTAGCGGCCCTTCTTAGCCAATGTCTCTCCATTAAACGGAGAGGGCATGCGCCTAGTCAGTGTCCTGGTAGAAATGAGTACAGTTCAGTAGCTGTCTTTGCACAGGAAGTGCTCGAGCAGGGCCAATAATCGAGGATTACGAGGAATACCATTCCTTTCGTTGAAAGATTTCGTGAAGAAGTCTTATCATTACACTAGCCCTCCTGATGTTCCTTTGACGTCCCCAGGAATTCATTCAGTAACCGCCTTGGTCCAACAGTCATCACCATATCGCATGATATGCCAGCCTCCTAATCTTCAATTTCGTGAGCAACGGCTTCTCTGATTTTCGTCCGTTGACGAAGCTAGGAGTTCCGGTCCCTCTTCTGTACTTGCGTGTAGAGAACTCCGAGTCTTGCTCTTTTCGGAGCGCGTTAAATGGTGCTGAATGCATGGCTCATCCTGCTTGTGCTGATTCCAAGTTTTGAGGCACATCAAAGCAGGACCGCCGAACCACTCTCTTTCCACAGAGTGACGGAACTTCTACGCGATTTTCCGCGTTCGCTTTACGGCATGCGACAAAACTTTTAGTTGTCCAATGGCTTCAAATCACGAACACCGTACTCAACCCGCCTCCTTGCCAATCGATAGAACGCAATTTTTTCGTTGACTGCCTTTCCTTAATGATTGGTTTTGGTCGTTTTTCTCCATTTCTTTTTCGTCTTTATGTACATTAGAATTGACTGTTTGGAATGACCCATCCTATATTATCGATTATAGACCGGATTGGAACTGGAGGGAGCGGCCAGCAAATTCAAATTGGATTCTTTTCTCCCTCCTCGGACCTCTTCGACAGCCCCCGTTCTCAGTCTCCTTTACCTCTCACAATTGGATGACCTTCTTCACTTCTTTCGAAATGCAGTCACTGTTTCAAGACGACGGAGAGAAGTCACCGTGGTCTTGCGGTGGGCGAAGAAGCATCGCTCGGAAAACACATTAGGCATTTTGGATTGTCATTATAGTTCCCCAAAAAGAATGGAAAGGGAAGGTGTTTGGCCATTATCCGTGACTCGCGCCCCTCCTCGAACTGTGTAAGTTTCGAATTACGGTGAATTCGGGAACGGTGGATTTTCTCACTACCTGCAGAAGTTCATACTTGGATGGTCGATCTAGCATTACAGCGAATGAGGTCAGGTTAAGTGGTGTGGGACTCTAGTGCTGAACGGTACTAAAGGGGCGCCTTCTAGTCTAGAGGACTGCTTTGAGGATTGTCTGGCCTCGTATGAGGATCGGTCCCAACTGGTTTTTGACTTTCAAGCTTTGAAGAAGAAGACAAAGAGGCCGAAATTCAGCTCGGTTAAGTTTTCCGATCTCAGAAAGGCTCATGCTTGCTCAGGTAAAAGTCAAAGTTCAACCCGAGATCGAAAAAGATCAACACAAAATCGTTCATGGTCGATCTTGCTCTGCACCTACCCGAGTTTTTTGTGCTATTCCTTTTTTACTTTAGTGGTATTCTCCATTGTTAGAACTTTTTCCTGAGGCTGTACACAACAATGAATAAGCGTAGAACTTGAAATGTTTAAGACCGAGTTTGAGCATCGACTGAAGTGATGCAACTCGTGGCTCGCGACTCTTGTACGGAATCCATGATGCAGCAAAAATTAGCTTTTAGCGCCTGTAATGAAGCAAACTTTTTGTAGATGATGCTTTATTGTGATTTTTGTCGACGTTTGTCTGAGGCTATGCTATCTGAGTATGTAAAAAATTACCTTTTTTTACAGAAATGAAGCGGGATTATCCAACGATCAAAGAGTACGCTGATGCCCAAAACGAACTCGGCAGTTGTATGCCTGAATTTCGTTCAGCTGTTTCTAAAGCAGTTAAATTCGGTGCGTCAGCAGGTGTGCCGTTTGGAATTTACGTGGCTTACAGGTAATTGTTTATGTGTTGACTTTCATTCATTCTTTGACGCCGAAGCTTCCAAATTCAGTGTTTTAGACATCACGGGTGGAAATTAAAACCCTTAGCTGGCAAATCTGTTGCTGTTTGGTTTGCAACAACACTCACGTTTGGTGCTATTGGAGTGATGACAGGGACGTATTGTTGTTTACGGGTCAATATGTAACGACTGAAATATTATTAACTTGTTTTTTTGTCCATGTTGTTATTAGCTATTAGGAAATTAGACCTCGTTAATCGATTACACATACCCCTTTTTCTTGTGTTTATGTGTTTCTATTCATAATTTCGAAATAAAATGAAATTCGGGTCTTGGATTTGCTTTTCGTTTCACCTTCCGAAGTTGTTTGTTTGAAGGCAAAGTGTCTCTCAGTGCATTCTATTTCAGTGAATGTAATACAAAAGCGCCATAAAATCAGACTCTAAGGAGGTCTAGTGACCGTACACTCGCTCAAGACAACCCAGCCTTGCATCCGTTCGGGATCAGTTAGCGTTACCAGAATCGTTTTGGTGGATGGAAACACTGACTTGTCATCGGTTGGATACCGCAAATCAATGTATAGGGCACATAACACACTCAATACGTCACTAACCAAGGAAGGGTTTCAACCCTTTTGACAACTGGCAACCAGTGTTGGGTGCCACCATGTTCTGTTTCCTTGCACATTTAGCGCCTATTTGATATTTTAATGTTTACTAACATAATTCATAGCAATTATATCCAACATGGTCCATAGGATTATTTCATAAAAGCTCGTTTATCACAAACATATATGGTCAACGAGAGACTACAGAAAAAAACTAAGGTACTTCCGCAAGATTTGTGTACGTCCTAGAAGCATTGCAGTAGTAAAAACCCTGGTTTGCGATCATGTGGCTGTGCGGTCGCTCTCAACATGGCAGTCGCGAAGTATAAATTACTACTCAGAAATCTCGGATGTTGTACGAAAATTGCCTCCGAAATCCCATTCTACTTTGTTCCTAAACCCGAACTCGACTTCTAAGCCTCAATTACATATGCGGGACGGAACAAGATCTTCGTACTACTATAATGCTTGACTCAAAGTTTCTTGAATCTATCCTTGAGTGTATTTGGCCTTCGTTATAGATTGTTGGGGCTTGTTGCTAAGCTTGGGCTTCATCCTCTCAAACTAGGCTTGTTCTAATTACTGAGTTTTTTCTCTAACTTTTTACGAGATTTGAATAAACGCTTTATTAGTAATACAGCATTTAGGGCGAGGTTCATAAAAGGCCGTACGGGGGAGGCTTGTACTGATTACTTATCTAGTGCGAGTTCTCCTCTTCCTGCATGCAACTAGGACATGTCGTTTGGAATGATGAATAAATGGGAATCAGTTGGGGAAAGTTGATAAGCGACCCGCATGGAATTGTCCCCGGTGAGGAGACCGTTTTGTCTGCCGCCCGTCGACGGTCATCGTCTCGCGCGCTCTAGCGATACTGCGTCGCGCGTCGCGCGCGACTTCACCGTTCACTGCAACGCGTAGTGTTCAGCCGCCCATGGAAATGGTTCTCGGTGGTTGCTGAGTTTTTGTTCCCGCAGTTACTTATTGTTAAGATGGCTGGATGCTTCTTCAAGTGGTTGCGTTCAATGTCGTCGAGTAATCCGTTGTAAACTCGTTTAATATATCATGAAGCATACAGTTCCTATTGATATTTGCAGTGGTACTGGCAAGTTTTCAGATTTTTCGTCATAATAGAATCATATTCCCTGTGCCTGTGTTGGTTGTTCGCCATATTTCGCCATGAATCGAATGCGGACACGCGGAAAGGATCATGATCCAGCATTAAGCCCGTCCTCTCCCTTACCGTCAGCTTCGTCCAGTAATCTTAATCTTTCTCCAATGACATCCCCAAGCAGAGACAGGTGGGACACATGTTTGACTTTCTTTCAATGAATTTCTTCTTGAACCTTATGCTTCCACTTTATATTGGTCAAGAATGCTTGCTCCAACGCATCACGTAGAAATTGATATCGAGATCGAGTTCCGGGAGAGGTTGGAGGGAAGGAGTTCTCCTAATAGTGGTCATTCTGAAGAAGAAGTCGAAGCAGTCTTCCCGAGTATCGCATATAGAACTGCTTAACATATGTGGGCAACACTGCGCGCGCATTTTAGGCGATGACAGCGGATTAAAACGGAGAGAAACTGAGTCAAACGAGGAACAGCAAGTTGAGGCTAATCCATGCATTCGGGACCAGACCTTAATTCCATGCACCTCTTCGGATTCTCCCTAGTCTTAGCCGGTGTTCCTAACTGGCATAAAGGTGTCGGTCAATCCACAAGAGTGGTGTGAACGATGACAGTGAGTCCTAACAAAGTGTTCGGAAATTTGCAGAGGTTCTGGAGTCTTATAAAACACAGGTTTACAGGAGCCATTCATTCATGGCTTCCATACATGGTTTTTCTTTCTAATTATCTGCATATACTGAGGGAATCGCGTTCTGTCAAGCTTGTCCTGATGATTATATTTTTTTTTTCAATTCATGGGTGACTGAACGATATCATTCATGATGATGGTTGAGTTAGTTTGTAAAGCTCATGTGAGGATGTGAAGTGTAGCTGCAGGATCTGTTATGCAGCATTTGTTCTCGAACGTCGAGCAATAATTAACGTAAACGTTCACGTGTTTACCTGCGCCAGAAGTGCATGAGATAATGGGTTTGTCACTCGGGTTTATCCAACTAGACGGATAAATTAAAGTGGAAAATGTGTGTACGAGTGAAATGTATACATATACAAACAGTACACGGAAAGCTTAAGAAATTGAAAGGCTTATCATCTTGATATATTTTTTTCGTTTTCACGTTTGCTTTTCCGTTTTCAGGAAATCGTAGCATGTGATCGCTATGATTGCCTGACATAGTAATATATGAATATGGTTCCTGCATATGATACTTTCGCTGAAAGCAATCGTTTAGCCTACCTTGCAAGTTGATATATGTTCACCTCCCATTCGACCAACATTCACGGCTGGAAGTTCGAGCTGGGCAGACAGCACGCGATGCTATTTCAAAGCTTCTGAAGAAAAGAAATATAACCCCTCAACTTTGTCACGTTAATGTTTCAGAAGATCCTAGGAGCGAGCAAATCGATCTCATGGTATGTCAAGATTAGATCAATATCTTTTTTTCATTAATAATTTTTACCATTGAAATGCTGTAGCACCTGTCCTCATCGAGGTAACCCGCTGCCGTTTTTAGGAGGTCATCGCTTTATATTCGAAAGGCTCAAAGATTTTCTATTTCATAATAATGGAGTAGTGAAACCCATTAATAGTAGTAGAACTTTCAAAGTAGTGGAACTGTTGGCGCTATTTATTGGACTGAGCATGTCTCAATTTTGCCCACTGTAGTGCCTTTCGTTGAAACACCTGTGGGGTAGTTTCTCCTCGTAGATATGAATACGATATCCAATTGGACGAAAACCATTGGTACTCACGTCGTGGGGTCANCAATTTCGCAAAAACGAATTGTCAGTAAGTGCATATCACATCCCCGTTGCACAGCAATTAATTGTTTGCCTTTCGAGGGCCTCTTGTTTCGTTAGTGCTTGGACCTTCTCAACCGAGTTATTATAATATTCATGTTCAGATATTGTTTAATGCTAATTTTAGGCAAATTTAACCCAAGTTGTTTTTTCGCTGATAGTAAAGGTTTCGAGCCTAATGTTAGCTATATACGTCAGGTCGACTGCCGAACCCTGGGATGATTTCCAATTATAGCCACTCAATCAGAACTGTCCAGCCCCAGTTCTGAAAAAAGAAACTTACGTTTTGAAAGACTCCAAGAAAATGGAGCATTTCGATAAATGGATTCCATTGCTGCTATAACCTTGATGCTGGTTATCAGGTCCATGCCTATCGCAGCGGCCACTGAAGAATTCGAGTAGAAAAACAAAAATCTCTTCACTACTTTATGGGCAACTTTATTCTTAGTTGATTATTTTCATTATCATCATTTATATGAAATATGTGCAGCTACTGGATATCCTCTTTTCAAGGAGGATTTGGAGTCCATCGCATCACGGTTGGAAAAGAATGAGCTGTGGGTGCATAGCGAATACCTTGATACGGTCAGCTCCATCAAACATACAATTGTGCGAAGAACATTTATTCCTCCCGTCAACTGCGACGTTTGCAAGAACCCGATTTGGCTCGTGGTGAGTCGTCTTTGTGACTACTATATTAGAAGCTGCAGCAGAACTCGTTTGTTATACCAGTCTTTAACACAAATTTTCGGATTATTTCCATAGTATACACGTTCAATGTTACAGGGATATCGTTGCGAATTTTGCCAATTCAAATTTCATCAACGATGCTCTTCGTTCGCGCCTCTCTATTGTGATTTAATTCAAACTGTTCCACGCGATGAAGCGGTCAGTTTTCTTCTCAAACTAATGAAATGGCTATGTGATGTTGTAGAGCTCCATCAAATGCTTACTTTGGAAGCCGTTGTTCCAGCGCAATAGACGCTACAATACACAATGAAAATTCTTTTTTTAAGCTGGCCCAACGCCTTCTACTAATTGCCTCGCGAATGGAAGGTCAGGATGCTGAAATAGCAGAGAGCGTGCTCAATCAATTACAACCGAACCCAAGCCCTGCTCACACTCCCGAAGGAAGTCATGCTGATCTCACTTTGAAAAGGTCTTTTACTCTTTTCGTTTTCATGGTTGTATTATGTGGCGTTATTAGTTTTATGTACATTCAAAGAATAAATAAATAATTCAATGCTTTAATATTAATTCAGAGGAGGTGGTGTGAAGCGCCACCAGCCACCTGCCAACGTTGCAACAAGAGATGCACCAGGTCCATTAGCTCCATATCCACGAGATCGGTAAGGGTTACACTTGTGCAGTGGTTCTGTGATATGATTTTGCTTTTTATCTCCAAAGTCTTTGTTAAGATCATCATCCGCTCCCAATATAAATGCTATCAATGATGAGGTTGTGCTAGAACACAATGTGAGTTTTAATTCTTTCATTGTGTTCTTTTTTTTTGCCTTTTCATGGTGCAGTTTGTTTTAATCATTAAAACTTGCCATTCGCACTCGAATGGAGCTCGAGACTTCTTGATGTTAATATAGCGAAACGCCTTGAGAGGATCATGAGGCACGGTCGCTGTGATAGTTTTATAATACGCTTGTTCTGTGATCTTTTTTTGTTTGTTCTTATATCGCTAGTTTTGATTGTTTCTGTTACAGCAGCGTATTTTGGACGCATTGGAAATGCAGCATCATGGTACGTCTATAATGTCTTCAATTCCCTTAATTTTGTGAAGTCATTTTTTCTAGCCGAAGCTGAAACGGCGACGCGGACGTATTTGCGGTGTAACAAACCCAGATCGCAGTTTCAAAGTGGTCAACTTACAGCTGTCAATGTTGCCCCACCGGGAGGAGGCCTGGTCGTGAGAAGACCACCTAATCGCTTGCATCCTCGAGCTGATACTTCCCCCTTCGGTTCTAATTCACCTTCAAGTGAGCAATTAAAATCTTTATCTTAATTGGAATTATAGGTTTTTCTAAAAGGCACATAAAAGAGTTCTCCGGGTGGTTGAATCAATTTTCCTCATGTGCTTTACATAGAAAGTAAGAGTTAATCGGCAGTGTAGAAGACCTAATTGATTAGCATATCGATAGAACCAACTAGTCAATTTTTATCATAAATCCAAGGAATCTTTCTGATGTTAATCATTTATTTGTTCGTGTGCAGGTACTTGTTCATCTCCACCTGCTAATCAGCAACATGCTGGGCAGCTCTTACCACCTGCGCTGCCTCTTACTCCGCCACAAAGTGCTCCTCCGCAAAAGGTGCTTTTTTGTCGGAAGCCAACTCACTTTTCTTTGAAATGAATTTGATTCTAGTTCTCACCTGGTTTCTTTCGCGGCAGAAGTCGTTCTCCGGGTGAGCGACTGGAACCACAGCGTACGCGAGCGTTAGCAAACAAACTTGCGCATGAAGATTGGGAGGTATGTGTAATTAATCATGCTTCCATACTTACTCTCGATCTCAGTAGTTTATCTTAGATTGATGAGAAGCAGATCACTCTTCAATGCAAAGTTGGATCTGGTTCTTTCGGTACGGTATATCGGGGCGAGTATTTCGGTCTTGTTGCTGTGAAAAAATTGAATGTTGGCGAACCTACCTTGCAACAACTCCAGGCTTTCAAGAACGAGGTAATGCATTCATTTTACGCATAATTGCAATTTTGCGTTCTTGTTATCCAGTAGATCAAGTGGGCGATATGACAGGGAAACATTTACAAGGAGAGATGTCCAATCTAGTCTGTTAGAAAAGAGAGACTTATGAGACCCGATTCAATATTACTTATTTGTGGACTTACTTGGTTCCACTTTAAACTTCTAAGATTTTCCTCCCTTGTTTATGGATTCTGAAAAACATTTTCCCATCATATAGAAATCTTGAGGCTTTCGTGTAATCGCCGACTCTTTCATGAATGTGAAAAACATTGGCTGCGGTAAAATAGTGTGTTCACGTCGCCCGCCGCAGTCTTACTTTTACATCATTTTAACAAGTAGTTAAGCAGCCGAATTTTTAAGCGCTATATCACATGCAACTGCAAACTCCTAATCAACTGAAAATGAGTGTAGGCAAATAATTCGAGCTAAATTATTGCTCAATGTTTACAGGTAGCTGTTTTGAAGAAAACTCGTCACTTGAACGTGCTTCTTTTCATGGGTTGGGTTCGCGAACCGTCACTCGCCATTGTCACGCAGTGGTGTGAGGGTAGCAGTTTATATAAACACATCCATGTTGTTGGTATGTTTAGCTCTGTAGCATTTTCTGCTTTTTGCCTTGGTTTTTTGTGTTCTTTTTTCTGCTATTATATTTTATTTCAGTTTTGACTTCTTTTGTTGCCTTTTAGTTGTGTGATTGCATGTATACGGGAACTTCGCTTGTTTCCTAAATATAAATGGCATGCGCAACAGTCTGTTGAGTTTATTTGCTATCAATACCCTTACCATTCTAACAGTCCCCGTGCCTAGTTCTAATTCGCTACTGTAGAAATTTTGGGTGTGGAGAGAGTTTTTCCTTAAATTTTACATTTTAATTCTCTTGTCCCTTGCGGAAGACTCTACAGTGTGATCCTTTTTATATCTACTGCCTCTACCGTTGAAGCAGCATTGTTTTTTTCAATGTGCTGTTGTTCAGTAATGTTCCTAAAACTGCAAATCTTTACTTCGAAAAGCTTAATGGAAAGTCCCAAGATTTTAGAACAAGTGAAAGGTCAATGCTTTTCTATTTTGTTCGGTACCTCGCGAAGTGTACACTATCCATCGATTATTTAGACCTGAGCGTCGGGTCACACATGTTATCCAATGTTTTCGAAACACAAACACGTAATTTCAGAGCCTCGAGTGGAGTTTGAAATGAGCACTATCCTCGATATCTTCAAACAAATAACTTTAGGGATGAATTATCTGCATTCGAAAAATATTATTCATAGGTGAATCTGCAATACATACAAAGAGACGTCAGCAGAGACATGTAATTTTAAGTCGACCTTTGTTCAGAGATTTGAAAACCAACAATATTTTCCTAATGGACGACATGAGCACAGTAAAAATTGGAGACTTTGGTCTTGCTACCGTGAAAACTCGTTGGAGTGGAGGACAACAAAGTCAACAGCCTACTGGTAGTATTTTGTGGATGGTGAGTATAAAAGTTTTCTGTGATAGATGTGAATTAGGGTTGTTTCACAAATCAGCACGATTCAGGCGCCGGAAGTTATCCGCATGCAAGACTCCAATCCATACACTACTCTTTCTGATGTTTATTCATTTGGTATAGTCATGTACGAGGTCCTATCAAGCTCTTTGCCATATACTAATATAAATAATCGCGATCAGATTCTTTTCATGGTGAGCTTTATCTGTCGTTTTTCAGTTTATCACTGAGAGCACATAGGCATANTACATTCTTCCAGTTTTTCTTTGTATATTTTGCAGTGTACATGTTCTGAGTATTTTATGTGAGTACGATATCAAAAAGAAACCTTTTTTGTAAGGGTGATCGGAAGATAATTTGCATATGTATATGTCAGTAGAGACGCAATTGTTTAATTAAGGTCGCAAAATATTTCGACATTTTTCTTGTTATCTTAACGTCAGTTCTTCGCAGGTTGGTCGTGGCTATCTCAGACCAGATGTTTCGAAAATACGATCGGATACCCCTAAACCATTGCTGGCCCTCTATGAGCGATGTATTAAATATGACAGGAGCGAGAGACCAGAGTTTAGTGAGGTTAGTTTTTCTCAGTTTGTTTTTGCTTTGTACTAGTACTAATAAGTTACCTGTTACCCTCAGTTTATTGCCAATGATCGCTGCCGATTATTGTGCGTAGTCACTGAAGAAACCAAATCTAATTGCGAAAGGTGCCCATAGTGAGATATCAGAAACGGATCCAGACACATTACGTATGTAGACGCATTAGTTCATTTTGATCAGTACGTAGACGCATTAGCTCATGTTGATCATCTAGTTTTCCTGCGCATGCGTGAGGAGCCGCGACGCTCAAGCATCGTTGAGAAGCTATTTGTATTCGTTGTATTTCCAAAGAAACTAGGAATTACAGAATAAGTCATTTTTCAAAAAGCGCTCTGACTACTTTATTGTTTTCTCTAAAGTTCAAGCTATCTCTGTCTTTCGTTTTCTTTGCATTAGAAACTAGTTATTTTCCCTCTATTTATGAAAACTGGTTGACAATATTATTGAGAAGTTTTCATATCTGTTTCGCTGATATGAAAGTGGTTCTCTACTTTTCTACTTTTTTTCCAGGTGCTCGATAAATTACGCGGAGTTTCTCTACCGAAGTTAACCCGTTCGACATCAGCTCCTAGTCTCTACAGAGGTCTCATGGAGGCAACAGAATCGATTGGAGGTTATAATTCGAACGCGTCTCGGACCACTCATCACCTTTGGGGCTACCTTTAGGTTATTGCCTAGTAAGTTTTTAAAATCTTATGAATTCGTTTGTATATTCCTCCAACAGATGTCATAATTTTTCGCTGTAGTCACTAAGTGTGGCAGGCAGTTGAATCGGTCAACGTCAGTGACCTCATTTCAATCCAGCATTTTTGACTGGATCTTTTTGTGCAAATGCAATCCGTAGTATAATCATTCACAGATGATGGATAAGGAACAAGAACATCTTTCAGACTACAATTTGCATGAATACCATCATGAATAGTAAGGAACTGTATTGCAGTTAGTAAATAGATACAATATGGCTTACAAGGAAGTATACTAGGTCGGAGCGGCTGTCCAGATGTGTTTCATACGTTGTGAGTGTTCTCAAAGGCTTACCCTTCAAATCTGTCAATTCTGATAACAAATTACGAAATAGTTTTCTCTCTGTGTCATAACCCTATGTCGCACGGATTAGCAAATCAACTAGTCCCTTCATTGTGCAGCGATATCCCAGTTTGTGAGACGGCGGGCTTAAAGAAGTGACCTGGTTTGCATCCTAGGTGCATGTGCTCGTTTTGCTTCTTCATCAAACGTGTCCTTAACGCTTGCAAAATGCTTTTGTGCTTTATATTGACTATCTACGGCCCTCCCTCAAAGTCAAGAAGTAGTAAAAGTGAAAATAGTAGTCTAATAAGAGGTCTTCCTTGCCGTCACCATGACTCAGTAATTGTTGAGGAACCTTTCTTTGGGGTAAACGTGGCAAGCGGTTGGACGCGTTACGACAGCTCGATTTGAGAACCTGAATCCACCTATGGCTTGCTTCGAAGTTGACCTAGATGAAGCCTCTCCTGTTGAATGTCAGCGCCATTTAGTGATATTGTTCTCGTGCAAAGGGATTCCTTGATTCAGTTTTGCCATATTTTGTACACGTTCCTCGCGTTAAAATTTGAAATGGTGGTGTCGTTTAGAGACACAGTTCGCGGTAAAAATGGTTTCTGAGAATCCCCCTGAGATTAAGCTGTGACTTTCAAAGATAGTCCTGGGCATACTCTTAGGGTTAAAAAATGTGCTCTATAGGGTCAAGGGCCCCTAGATTTGACGTACACAACCGAGACGGACGCGTTTTCATGGCGCTGAAGGGATGTAGGTCCATTGGCGCGGTCCCACCCATCAACCCACTGACCATCCAGCTGATAGAAGCCGGATCGACGACACTATTAGACGCCGAGTTGCGGACATTCAAGAATTCTGTCTACTTGCATCGATCAGGAAGTTCAATCGCTAGGAGGAGTTGTCCAGCTCGCAAATCGCGGAATGGGCGGCGCGATTGGAGGGAACGGGCCAAACGACAAATGGTGCAACCACTACAGCCGGAGGCTGTAGTGGTTGCACCATTCGCACCGGGATGCACACGTTGCGAGGCAGCTAACTGTAGCCAGTTGTACACGAAGGCACACGGTTGGAGAGCTCCTCTAGGTACCCCTTCCATGGCTTACTGACTACTTGAACTCGATCCCATTAATTGTGGCGACCGCAGTTAGTTTTCTGCCCTCGTCTGTCGCACTCCCGTTCACTCCAGTCTTTAACAGCTGTGCTTGCCTAATCATTGGGATCCCCACCAGCAATCCCGTCTCCTTGACCCACAGTATTTTTCTCTCCGTTCCAACCCTTCGCTGTTAGGGTAGCAGAGAAAGTTCAAGTAATCTCGTAACCCCCTTCCATTCAAGTTTGGAAAGCCATTACCCATTTAGAAATTAAAATTTGTAAACGAGTATACCAAAAAGGTGTGAGCGCTCAAAGTTTGCATGGGCACAGCATTCAGAAATAATCAGAAATAGTGCTAATTGATATTCGCCGATGCCTCGTCAGATGTTTCGAGGCGTTATGGATTGCAATATTCGCTCTAGGGCCCACACACAATCAGCTGGTCGCCAAGTAATGAGGCGATTTTTTAAATTCTTTTATTCTCTGTTATTCTTTCTGCTACTGTGATCCTTTATGAAATTTTCTACTCCAAGAGGCTGAAAAAGATGGACTATTTTTGCTGTTACTAATTTGTATGCTCATCCAAATGTCCCTTCTTCATTTTTCTGGTCTTCTTCTCGTCCAGCCCCCTTTTTACGATTTTTTCGAGGCCTTTTTTCGCTTTGGAAAGCCAATTCGCGCACTTTCTTTTTACGCACATCGCACCATTTCCTACCTTATCTTCCATTTCTCGTCATAAACTAAAGTAAATTTTTTGATTTTTGATCAATCCCGTCTGAGGGATGCGCCCCCGCACTCGACTTCCCTTCAGAATCGTANTGGCGTAATGAGTGTGTATGTGGCCTATACAATGACTTGCGGTGTCCAGCCGATGTACAAGTCAGAGCTTTTATCCTCCCAGACGAGTCTGGTACCAATTCACCGACCCCGGAGGGATGGAAGCTTGGTTGGCCATCATAATCTGGATTATTCAAAATTATCGTGAACTGTGTCTTCAAAGACCACCTTATTTGAAAACCGATTCATTTGCCACGTGAGGTTACATCGACAGCATTGAGCAGGTTATTTGCAAAATATTTGTATCTAGCTGGATTTTAGGCACAATTTCAACTCTTCTCAAGTAATATGCCAACTGAATTGCAATTTTTCAGGTCACGATTGCGACCATCGATGCTCTCCGTTTCCGAACAATTGGGTTCTTTCTTGTGTCTTTGACCCTGTTTGTGTGTGTTTGTGATTCTGTGATACTCTTTTATTTTACAATGGGTAAACCTCGTGTTTTTTTCTGTTTAACTGCTTAGGAGTTTTTTCCAGGAGAGTTTTACACAGGTATGCTCTGATTCGGAATACACACATATCCGCTTGATAGATCGTAGTGTAGCGCTTGTGCACGATGTACGATAGGTTCCCTGAACTCGCCAGAACATTCCTAAGCGTGTTAGTCAATGTTGGCGGAAGTTTCGATTCTCTGTACTGATTTTGACCATACCCTTGTTTACATTTCCTAACAGCATTCTTAGGCTTGTACTTTTGTCAATTATATAAAAGCTTTGCAGTGTGTGGTTTCCACTGGTACGGTATGAATACTGATAATTTCGCTTTTGTCATGGCTTAAGTTTTGTATTGAAATCTTCTATCAATTTGTGTACAGCATTCCGCTTATCGGGTAAAAATAAACTATTTATTCATGGAGTATGCCAAAGTGCTTCAAAAGGATGTCCATCTCCCTTCTTGAACATTTTAAATTATCAATTGTTTACATAGTACATTTTACCTAAATCTTCTGCAGAGAATTATGTCGAGTGATGTAGACGAAGCATCAGATTTATGCTTGGCCATTCAGCGACTGATACAGTCTCGGGAAGCCAGCGATACCGTCGATATTGACTATGTACAGCCATTGGTGCAGGTGTGTTCAAAACGGTAGTCTTTGTACTAGGTTGATCAAAAAGTTTGAAGGGGTTGAAATTTTTTCTCTTTTATTTTACTACTCAACAAGCAGTGCAATCTAATCAACAATATAATAACCATTGTTAGTTGGAACATTGTCCTAACGGGCAGCTCAGCACTTTCCTTCTCCCAGAACTGGAAGATTGGGAGCCAAAGAGCTTACCCACCACTTGTTCAAGGTGGTCATAGTTGACGATTTGTTTTTTTTTTTTTGCTAAAAAAGCCTTGAGGGCCCGGATCAATTGGTAATTTGAGGGGCAATATCAGGTGAATAGGATAGATATGGAAGCGTTTCGCAGCCTAGCTGCTCTTATTTTGCACGGGTCGCTTTATCTACGTGAAGCTTGTCGTTGTCATGCAGGATGTGCACAGAAGTTCGTCGTGGTGCACAGAAGTTCGTTCGATGACGGTTGACCTTGCTTGAGCAATTCGTGGTACAGCATTTCTTTTGGATCCAGCAAAATAGAAGCTTCTTGAGGTGTAGGTCGGATACGGTTTGCGGCGGCGGCTGTTCTCTTTGGGAGCCAGACTGCGCGGTGCCTTTTAGCTTCATAGAGGATCCACCTTCCATTTCCAGTGACTAGTTCCTCCAAAACATCCTTGCGATGTGGCTGAGAAGCAGAGGCAGACAAGTAGATACCCGGGTAGTGTACCGAGATCCGGTATCTTCTCCCCGAAACCGGCGTCGCGTTCGCCGCACTCGATCGCGCGCTCCGAAGGGAAAGGTGTGAAGTCCCATTGCAAGGATAGGGTAGCCACCGCGTGACCTTCGCCGCTTACAGTGGGAATTCGGAGAGAAGTGAGCGGGCGTCGACGGGTTTCAACTGAGGGTTATCTTCAGAGCCCGTTTCCCTGAAGCGAGCGAACCAGCGATGAACTGTAGCGAAGGAAGTAATGTCTATTCCTATGCGCTGTTGTTGTTGCGAACAGTTGCCGCCGCTCCAGTGTCGCGGCGCCACGTCGATGATTTAGGTTTTTCGGGTTTTTTTTTTGAAAGTTCAGGATCTCCCGAAAAACCCTATCAAAACTTTTCGACCGACCTTACCCATATGTTGGATAAGGAAACAAGTCGGAAAGACTCAGGTGTTATTTTTGCCTNTTTCAACTGAGGGTTATCTTCAGAGCCCGTTTCCCTGAAGCGAGCGAACCAGCGATGAACTGTAGCGAAGGAAGTAATTTCTATTCCTATACGCTGTTGTTGTTGCGAACAGTTGCCGCCGTTCCAGTGTCGCGGCGCCACGTCGATGATTTAGGTTTTTCGGGGGTTTTTTTTTTTTGAAAGTTCAGGATCTCCCGAAAAACCCTATCAAAACTTTTCGACCGACCTTACCCATATGTTGGATAAGGAAACAAGTCGGAAAGACTCAGGTGTTATTTTTGCCTTGTGAATTTCCTCCACTTGTTTGACGACGAATGCATTTACTTTGGTTGCTATCAACGAACTCTTTTTCTCCAGAGGATTTGTATTCCTGCTACATATTGCATCGGAAATTTTCTTCGGAATACCATTTACATGACGGCTCCTTACACTATCATGTTTTTTTTTTTTTTTTGATGAGTTATTCTCGACTATGCTCATTCCCTTGTAATTCCCGGCGTGCTCAGATGTTTTTTCTTCATCTGGCGGTATGCTATATCTGCTAAAGAAAATGAAGGCATGTGACCCCATTTTATTCCGGTATTTGGTATAGGCAAATATTGTTGATGATTGCCTATGCCAGGTGTCATTCCGCCTCCTCTCCGCAGCCTACGTTGTTTGATTGAGTTTATTGCCTGTTTTTCAAACATACATATCTTGTCATTACAGAGAATTTGCCGCATTCAGTAGTGCCGAGATTCTAGCCTCGATGAGATGTACTTCTTTGAACTCATAAGAAAATATGAAACGACACATTATTTCAATTCATGGATTTTCGTGCAAGACTTTCTCTGGTGCGCTTCATTGTTGTCGCCGCTGAGACTAGGTCATGCTGCACTCATCGCGCACGGCACACNCCCCCCCCCCCCCCCCCCCCTGCGATGTCGTCATGGACACGTTTGAATCGTGCAAGGGTTTTGCGGTTTGAATTATTTTACCTTGCGCGGATATGTGAATACAACATCGATGCTGCGGTGGTTCTCCACGTTTCTGGTAGGGAATATTCTTCTACACACCGCCCTACTGCCTCATTTTCTGATTCTTTTATTTTCTACATGAAAAAAAAAACTCTAACCGCCTTATTCTACTTCACTTTGCTTCTTTTACAAGCAGTTTTCACTCATTCGAGTGCCCGCGTGTGGTATAATATTTCAAACCGCCAAACCCTTCTACGATTCAAACGTCCCTATCTCGATTTCGCAGTGGGCTGCGCCGCGCGCAAAAAGTGAACGTGACCTAGTTTCATCAACGATAGGAACGGACGTTCCCTGAACGACGGAGCATATAAATATGGTTAGATTCTAGTTTTGGTTTACGGATTTAGTGGAAAACAAGATGTGTAGAAGTTAAAACCTCAAGGCCTCTCAGGCACTGCAACATTAGATACAAAAGGGAAACTGGGGAGTTGGGATGAGAATCAGCTCCTTCATTTCAGATGATTCAGCGGTTATTTGTTGTTGATTTGGAGCGTGCTATTGAACACGGCATGGATGCATTGCTTTGGTCAACAGCAAAACAGTTGGTCGACAGAGCGCGTGGAGATCATGGAAATGGAGGAAGGAATAACGTGAGTGTCATAAGTCGAGCAAGTTTCGTTTAGCTTTCCGGGATCATCAGTGTGCTCTGGTTTTACTGTCATGATCATATAAGAGAATTAAAAAGCTTATGAAAATGTGCTGTCATGAAAATACACTTAGCCCGAAAGTAGCTACAGTAACCCAAACTTGCGCGCGGACCTGTTTGGGAAAGGTTTTTTGTTTTTTTTTTT